CTAGGAAATTTTTTTCTCATTCTCCTACTCTTCCTCTTCTTAACCACAGCTCTCCCAGGATCCATAATCATACTACTATTTTGCCCTAGGTCAATTCACAAAAAAACAATTTGCTAAAGCCCATATACTAAGTGACTTATTTGCTCAGTAAGCAATATGCTAAAAGTCAATTCACCTGAAATGCAATTCACTGAAGATCAATTTGTCAAATTTACCAAATTCATTGGTTTTCTAAAAATCATTTATAGGGTTCACAGCATTTTGCATATGATAGATTGGCAGAGTTAAGAAGACTATGGGGGGCCAGGCATGGTGGCTCACGCCTGTAATCCTAGCACTTTAGGAGGCCGAGGCGGGTGGATTGTTTGAGCTCAGGAGTTCGAAACCAGCCTGAGCAAGAGCAAGACCCCATCTCTACTAAAAATACAAAGAAATTAATCGGACAACTAAAAATATATAGAAAACATTAGCCGGGCATGGTGGCACATGCCTGTAGTCCCAGCTACTCGGGAGGCTGAGGCAGAAGGATTGCTTGAGCCCAGGAGTTTGAGGTTGCTGTGAGCTAGGCTGACGCCACGGCACTCTAGCCTGGGCAAAAGAGTGAGACTCTGTCTCAAAAAAAAAAAAAAAAAAAGACTATGGGGAACTACAGATCCAGGGTGCTGGGTCCCCCTGACTCTCCTGTCCTAAGTTTATCCCTCTTGTCCTTCAGGCTCACTTTCTGCTTGTGGGTCTTCTCCTCTTTGAGCCTTTTGGTCTCCCCTCCTCTGGGGTTGACAGGCTGGGCTGAGTCATGTGCTGACCAACACACACAAGCTGTTCTTCCCACAGTGGAACACCCCTCTTCTTTGCTCCAGCTCCCTCCAGCTGCAGCAGCAGGGAGCTGGGCCAGAGGTGAAATGAACATTCCTTAAAATGCTGACACTACAGAAATATCTACAAGCTGTTAAAGACCATCCAATTAGAAATCCTACACACTTTTTAGTTAAACAAGTATTTGATGACAAATGGCCAGTTTGGTTAATTTTGCAAAGTTTAACTGACAAAATTGGAGGCATCCTAAAAATACTAAATCTTGGAAAAAATTTTTTAAAGGCTTTTAAAAAGGATCAGAAAGAAATCAGTATAAATAGAAAAATTCCCATAGGAAATACTGAAATTCTGGCAATATTCAGAAGAAAAATGTTTTGATCAGTAGACTAAATTTCCTTAGGACCTTTCAACAAATTGAACATTTCTTAAAATACGTGAGGCTGGAGGGTGTAAAGACAGAGTGGTGAGAGGGTGTGCCCACCTGAAGTCAATCAAAGCATATTTCACTTGCTGGCCAAGCAACAAACAAATATATACCAACAAAGCAAAACAAATCAAAATAAACAAAGGATCCCTACAATTCTAAGATTACAATTTCTATCAAACTGTGTGCATATACAGACATACATTGGCAAATCTGCAAGGTAACACTAAACTATGAAACACACACGCCTTACTAACTCAAGAACATAAGATTTGGTACAGGTGATTTTTTTTTTTTAATGTTGTATCACAGATATATATTTTTCTTCAGACAAACATTTAAAAACAGTAAACATGTATATATATATATAGGAGAATATATTTCAGATTTTCAATGGCTACCTTAGAAATGAACTCTTAAACATGATTTGATAGTTGGGAAATTTTAGAGAAAGAACTGCCGCAAACCACAGTTTTATTTGTATATATTTTTAAATACCTAGGATTTCTATTAACTTTTTTGTGGATCAATATACACTAATATTATTTATATATTTCCCTCCTTCCATCTGGAGACTACCTACATTATCACTCAATGGAAGCCACTGTAGGGAAATCAAAACACTTTAAGACCAAAAGAGTTACTTAGAAGTCATGCACATTCAGATGTAGAAGAAAGGAAGAAATAGTGGAAACTGGACTGACCACATCTGGGGCAGTGACCCTGGTAGTGGACTCCTAGGCAGGACAGCTCACTTTAGGGGGCAGCCAACTGGGCTGTGCAAAAGTACCTTTCCTTGTGATGGTGGAATTTTTTCTCTTCATCTGAGCTGGTCTTCAATTTGAGTTTTATTTGGGTGAATAAATACTATAATTTCTTTTAAAATGTACATATATCTAGAATGGGTAAAGAATTGTGTGAATTTGTGTAAATTAGCTTTATGCGGGGCATTATTCAAATGCTTAACAACAGGTATAACGGGGCATTCGCCAACACTGAGCTGAAGCAGAGTCCACATGGTGCAGGCTCAGGGGGAGGACCAGAGGTCCTGGTGGAGGCGGCTGAGGGAGTGCGAGGGGATGACAGAATGGCTGCTTGCGAACCACTACTAAAATATTTCAATATTTTAACAACTAGTACACTTATACTGGTGTACACTAGTAGAGTATTAGGCCTGATTCCACGCATTTTTTTTTTTTAATCCCAATAGTTAGTTATGTGGCAGAAAGAGAATTCTGATTAAGAGAGGCAGGAAAGAAAAGCTAATGTAATTCTAAAGGGCAATGAGCACCAGGGGAGAAAGAAGGCAAGAAATACTAAAACTAATACAAAAATTTTGTCTAGGAAATTTTTTTCTCATTCTCCTACTCTTCCTCTTCTTAACCACAGCTCTCCCAGGATCCATAATCATACTACTATTTTGCCCTAGGTCAATTCACAAAAAAACAATTTGCTAAAGCCCATATACTAAGTGACTTATTTGCTCAGTAAGCAATATGCTAAAAGTCAATTCACCTGAAATGCAATTCACTGAAGATCAATTTGTCAAATTTACCAAATTCATTGGTTTTCTAAAAATCATTTATAGGGTTCACAGCATTTTGCATATGATAGATTGGCAGAGTTAAGAAGACTATGGGGGGCCAGGCATGGTGGCTCACGCCTGTAATCCTAGCACTTTAGGAGGCCGAGGCGGGTGGATTGTTTGAGCTCAGGAGTTCGAAACCAGCCTGAGCAAGAGCAAGACCCCATCTCTACTAAAAATACAAAGAAATTAATCGGACAACTAAAAA